CTTTCCCCCACCCCCCGACCCTTTCACTCTCCCCCTCCCTTTGCTTTCCACCCATCACCCAATACCTTGATCCCCTCGTCCCACGCCCACGGAACCTTTCTGGCCCTCGATAAGCCAAACGGACACATATCATCATCGCGACTTTCACTCCCGGCCATTTCGCGTCGGTTAAGCCGCGCCCCAAATCACTCATTCTTCTCCATGCTATACTGAGGAGCCTTCCGTGATCCCAACACTCTTGTAAATAGCTCAAGAACGGGCACATTGTCGAGGCTGTCATGCCAGCCGCTACACGTGCCATCCCTTACGGACAGACAGAGGACGAGAGATGGGGAAGGGGAGAACACCCCCACGATGCCTAAAGTGTCCTCTGCACTGCGAATCATAATCTCTGCCTTGAGCTGACACTCCATAAATCTAAAGGGCTACGGGGCCCCCGGGCAGGCGAGGTGGGCCTCTCTCCTGCCCCAAGGCGGTCGCACGTGAGACCCTGCTACAGTACAGGGGGCCCTGCACCCCGCGACCCCTGCATAAATAAATACACAGCAACATACGGCACTGAAGAGAGACCGAAAGAGGGAGAAAGAGAGAGCAGAGGGAGCAGAGAGAGAGAGAGAGAGAGAGAGAGAGAGAGAGAGACCAGGGCACAAACTTTTTCCATCGCTCGCCCCGCTCACCGTGCCTTCTCACCCCGAGACGGACGTCACAGAAAGTTGCGGGTTGCGGCGAAAAGAGCGGTAAAAGGTTCCACTGCAGCCTCTCAATGACGGCAAGAGCGCAGATCGCAGAGCGCGATAAACACGAGTGCACAACGTACACATCGATGTTCGGGCGTGAGGTCGAGTACTAGGTAATGCACCACACTCCTGAAGTGAAACACGACAAAACACTCGGAACTGAAGCAGTTGGCTGGGGGTTTACTCCTTTCAAAAGTTCCCGCGGGCACCCAAACACCACACTCACCAATCACGTTGAGCCGCACTTTGGTGTTTCTCGTCGGGCTGGCCTTGAAGTCGACGCGGCACCGGTAGTTGCCCGCGTCGCGCTCCTCCACGCCGCTCAGCGCCAGAGTGGCCGGCTCCGTCTCGGTGCGGAAGTAGGCGCGCTGCTGCAGCAGCTCCTGGTCCTTCCAGTGCGAGGGCCCGCTGCCCTTCTTGGACCGCACGTCATAGCTGCAACAATGACGGAAAACTGCATTAGGCACAGTGAGATAAAATTTAGGGGCGTTACTAGAGGAAAATTTCACATGTGTGTCGTAAAATTACAATTTGAAATTGTAAAACTATAAGCACTCCGTCCGTAAATCAAAAATACAAAACTGTAAAATTATAAATATGTTATTTACAGTGGGTTTTCGTCGTTATGACACAGGGTGAGGCGCCCGCGGACAAGGAGTAGGCAGTCCCTGCGCGCGCCTGTGTGCGACGGGCGTGCCTACCTCACGGGCGCCCTGGCCTCCACGAGCACGGCCGGCCTACCAGCGCTTGTTCGCTTGAAGGGAAGGGCACGGACACATTTTTTTTTTGTGCTCGGCAGTAGGCCGCCTCAATGCCCACAGCCATCATACCGCCCTTCTCCTGGCCCAGGCGCGGCCGCAGCAGCGGTCGGGGCGAACCACTTACAACAGTATCACTTCTGGCAGGAAATAAGATCATCTGGCAAAGGAAAGGAGGAGGAGACCGAGAGGGTTGCAGGCACGGCCGGAGCACGACGAGATCAGCAGCAGCGAGCGGAGAAAAACAGCAATGGGGAGGGGAACTGACAAACGGACACCTCCTTTCTTCTCTCGGTCGTGTCGGGGCAGCCTGCCAGCGAACGGTGCCGCGCTGGCGCTGCTGCTGCCGCCGCCACCGTCCGGCGTTGTCGCGAGCTCACGGCGTGTCGGCCAGCAGAACCGGACCGATCGTCTTGCCCCCACCCCCCTTTTTGTGACCATGGAAAAAAATCAGAGCCAAAAACCCAATTCGTCGACCAGGGTACGGAAAAAAGGTTGCACATCACTGCTGTACTCTGCGGGCGGAGAGCAGCGGTAAGTACGTATAATGCTGTTTTCTTGTTTAAATATTCTTTCCCCCTTTCGCGCGTGGGGTTTACAATATACCCGCCGAGTAAGTACATAGTAAAACTCGTCTCGCGGCTCTCGGCCGGTATCGACCATCCCTCGGGCCTCGGGCCACGCCACGCCTCAACAGGTCACTGACCCGCGCGCAGCTCCGGCCGCGGACTTTGAGAACCTAACCTCGTTTCCTCGTCAAAACGACGACACGGTGCACCCCGACCGCGGGCATCGGGCGAACTACACCGGTCAATGCAAAGTTCTTCAGCGAGGTAAAGAAAAAATACGAAAAAGCGCGTTTCATTCAAATATAGAACCTCTAGGTCCTACATGTCCCCATCAGAATGTCAATCTCAAAACAGTCTGCGATGACTTTGTCAAACACTCACTCTATTTTCACATTGCAAGTACATGGGAACAGTCCTCCAGCAGTTCGATTCGCTGCTGTGCCGCTGAAGAACGTCAATGCGCATTAAGTCTCTACGCGCGACCCTGTCCCGCGGCCCTCCAGGACCGCGTGGCGGCGCCCGTGTAAAAGCGTTGCCGTTATGTTCCAGCGCGGACGACTAAAGTTTGAGCGTATGTATGATGGGGCCAGCCACCCGGAGGGCCGCGGGGTGGAGGGGGCCCCGCCCGGGCGAGGCATGCCACGCTTTGCCCGCTGCTCTGCCGTGTGCAGCGAGCGCGACAAATGAAATAATAAAGGCGAGCGCGCAATGTGCGGTGCGTAAATGGGTGCGTGTGTGTGAGCGTGTGTGTGAGCGTGGGTGTGCATGTGCGTGCGCGGGCAGAGGCGCGCACAAGTTTGGCTTCGAGACGACCGCCGCCGCCTGCTACCGCGGGTCGAACGCGCACTCACACACATATACACACAAACGCGCACATACAAGTCTGTTACCAGTACATGGGTACTGGTACCAGTTTGATACACTCCCTCGCGTTTGTATTAATTTCCGGGGCTTGAGAGAGGGTCAGGTGGCGGCTAATAGAGGTGTCGTGTTAACAATTTTTTTGTCGCATCTTCTGTTTTGAGCGGCGGTGCACACACATGTGTGGCGCGTGGCGACCCATGAGCCCGCCCGGCCCCCCTGCCTCCACCCGATGAAGGGGGAGGGGGGGAGGCTGGTTGCAGAGCCCCTCGAAAGGGGGACGCCACGACAGCTCCGCCCCTCGTAAAATACAGATGTAATGGCTGACTAAAAGCACGATGACACTAATGGCCGCCATGACAGCCGCGGTCGCGGGAGCGCGCGGGTCGCTTCAAAACTCAGGCGCTGACCACGTGTGACCTCCTGGACTGCACCTTTATTGAAACCAGGCTGTGCAGCTGGTGAGAGGCCGCGCCGGCCCCCGGGAGTGAGTCAATAATACCATCGCAGCCGGCGAGAGTGGAGAGGGGCGAGCGGCCGGCCGGGGGACTCAGCCGTTATCGTTCCGGCATGGCGGCTGGCCCCACGGAGCGCTC